TGTGTGTTGGTTGCATTATTTTAGCAAACTACTACAAGAAGAGACATGAACTAGTGTTGTATTGCCATTGAGGGCTGTTGTAAGCTAAATATAACTTGGATTTCGACTTGAATCTACTATAGGAGGTATGTATATTTTTTTCTTCATGTGCTTAAGGTTATCTTGACATTTATTAAGTTAAATGGATGGACTAGACATGAACTAGTGAATCAAGTTGCTAATTGAGGATAATTGGAGTTGTGGATTATTTTCTTTGTTATAAATATATTGCATAAGGCTGGAATCATTTATGAATGACTTCCTTATCATATTAATGATACTAATAAGTTAAAGTAAGAAGTCTATAAGGGGTGATATGGGGTATAAGGATTCCAATTGGGCTTGTAGCTCGTCGTGAAATAGTTGTGACTTGTTGTTGTTATATGGTGCCTTGTTATTGATAATTATGTATTGCTGGATTTCTCTGGTCATTGTTGTTGGTATATTGTATTGGAGGAGGCTCTTGTTACATGGGAGATGCTACCTAAATTTACATAAACGAGCTACTAGTTTAAGTTGCGGACTTAGCCTTTACTCAACACTGATTTTGAATCTCCTTATGCAATGGTAAATTGAGTTGAGTTGTTTGAAGAATTGCTTGGAAGGTATTAAGGACTCAATGGAGTTAAGGTATGTTAAGTCTATCCATTCTTTCCTTTTGGAATGATCCATATGATACAAACGAAATGTGCAAACGCGAAACTTTCATAAATGACTCTATTCATAGAATTACTAGGGGTGCCTATGTTCTTGATTCCCCATGTGTCCTATTAGTAAATCTTCTGTTCATGGGTATCAGAAAAATACGTAAGTTGCTAAAGTTTATACGAAGGCATATTGATCTTATGACATTCCGAGAAATCTTACTCGCTTACTTCATTATGCATTACATTCATTTATTCATGTACATTGACCCATGACCATATGGCGTTATATGTGCGTATATTATATGTATATGGGATATAGAAAAAGGTTATGGCATTATATACGTACCACCACCTGATCAACTGGTATACGTTGATGATTTCTCCCACAGTGGCTGAGATGATTTGATGAGATGCCCTCAGAGGCTTGATTAGGTTATGTACACATATACCTATGCATGGTATGGAATTTATACGCACATGCATGACACTATAAATTTTTCATGATTCACAGAGCTATTTAGAATTACAGGTTAAGTTCTTTACTCCATATTTTTTTCATGTCTTTTATATACTACTGTCATGCCTTACATACTCGGTACTTTATTTGTACTGATGCCCCTTTTATTTGGGGACACTGTATTTCATGCCCGCAGGTCCCGATAGACAGATTGAGAGTCCTCTAAGTAGGCTATCAGCTCAGCGGAAGGTGTTCGTGCACTACACTTGCTCCGGAGTTGTCTATCTGGTCAGTATGATTTGGACATGTATTGATAGGTATGGCGGGGCCATATCTCAAACTTTCTGATATTTATGTACTCGTAGAGGCTTGTAGACAGATGTCATCTATATGGATACTTGTATGGCCTTGTCAGCCTATGTTTTGAGTATACAAACGATCATGTCAGCCTTATAGGCCCGTATGTCGCATGCATAAGCTTCTATATCATGTTGGGTCATCCCATGCCGAGTATTCTCATATGTTTAACTCTAGTTATCTCATGACGGCCTTTCCGGTTCATTTACCCATGATAGTATGATAAAAGGATACGTTACGTTGGTACTCAGTTGAGTTAGGTACCAGGTGCCCGTCGCGGCCCTACGGTTTGGGTCGTGACAAAACTTCGGCATGTCTTGCATTTTAAACTGCTTCGGGATTAGTTCTGGTACCGCGATTGGTTTGTACGACAATTGGGTGTATTTCTTTGATTCCGGCCATTTCAGCACTGGTGGAGCGCCCAGAATTTGATCCATTCGAGCATTTACTTCTCTCATAAATCGCATGAGTTCGATTTTAAAGCGATCACTCTCGTTGTTATGACCTGATATGTTCCCCCCAGCCCCATCAGAGTCGACCTTGCCCCTTGGGGTATTGTTGTCGACCCTCTGCGTCGTTTGATTTACGGGAGCACCGGGGAGAACTGGGCCTCGCCCATTCGCATTGTTGGAAGCGCCCGACAATGCCTGCTTCAGTTCCTTCATGACCTTATCCTGCCGTGTGAGATGGCCTATAATGGCCTCCTATTTCTCCTGCAAGACCCTGACTGCTTCGAGGACATGCTCTTCTTCAGCATCTTCAGGAGCTGCCTCCCGAACATGTCGCGGATATCGGTCGTCGTGGACTGTCGTGGCCTCGTTCCCCTCGTTACGGGTATCACTTATTGAATCCTCGTGCTGAGGTTGATATCCTTAGGCCTCAACGTTGTGTGTGTTGTTAACACCATTATCTGCTATTTTTAATGATTTTTTTTGAAGAACAAAGAATCAAATAAGTTAGTAACAGATGCAGGGATCAATTCAATTACACGACTGTCTATGCCCCATGGTGGGCGCCAAACTATTTACCCGTAAAACGATACAGTTTAATTTATATGTGATTTATAGACAACTGAATTAATTTGATCTAAAAGTAATAGATGAATTAACCAGAAATATAAAACTTAGCCTTAAAATCGAAATAGACGGCAGATATCTTTGTTCCAGGCGCAGAGCTGCCGGGAGAAATAACAACAATACAAATAAGTAAGAAAGTAAAATGTTATTGAGCTTTTGATAGAATATAGTGTATGCTTGTCAGAAAATTCGTGTCCTCTCCAATGATGATAGAACTCATTATTTATAGTCGCGCCTAGGGAACAAGTTCCTAAGATTAAGCTCCTCTTTAATAACAATTATGAGGGCCATTGAAAGGTTTGTAACGGTAAGCAATGAATGTCATATTCTCTGTAACGAATCATGTACTTAATGTTGTAGAATATTCTTCATTGAATGCTACCGGATTATGGCATTAATTTTGTTGTTATGAGTATCATTCTCTCCGATGACAAGCGCGATCATTACCTTCGGGTTTATCTATCTTCTGTCTTTAGTTCCACGTGTCGCTTTCTCATGCGACCATTAAATATGCACATTTTTTACACTATACACCTATCAGAGTTTTTTAATCGGTTTGGTGTGATTTTGTTGTTCGATTTGAACACCCCTGCTTTGAGGTACTTTGACAAATAATTCACCTCAACTAGTTGTTGTATTGTTCTGACTTTTTTGCACAAGAAGCTTTCTAATTTTAAGCTTTTCTAGTTAGAAAAGAAAATCGTGCGCAAGAAAATGGGCTTAATTTTTTATTATCTTAATTTTTTGAGAAATTTTCATAAAGCACTATAGTTTAAAGCCTAGTAACTATAGTTTGCCTAATTACCGTTCGTAGCTACTATTCAATTGTTTATTCAAACGAGCAACGAATACAGCCTAGCAATGAATACAACATGTATCAACTGTATTTGTTCGCACAATTGTATCCATTCACACAACGAAAACAACATGTAACAACTATAACCAAGGCGAAATACAAGAATGTATACAGAGGATACAAACTGTATCGACTGTATTTGTATCGTGCTGAAACATAAGTGCTTATTAATATACACTTTTGGCTTTTTTCCTCAAAATTTCAAATGTACATGTCATGGAAAGTTTGTTACATTTCCTCATTTCCTACATTTAAAAAGGGCCTGCACTTTTGCTTGTACGTATTTGCACCCACTTGGTGCAGTTTCTCATCAATCAATTGATTTACTTATCAAAAACGATAACAATCAGCTTTGTCATACATGTTGACAATATTACACCTAAGTATCTGCCGTGTAAATCTCTGTCAAAAACAATTACATGCCAATCATGGCATTTAGCTCAAACTTTGTAGTAGTTTTCTACCAGGACGATTCAGAACTATGCTATGGGAACTACCTAACATAGAAAGCAACCCAGCACAATTCCTATCATGAAGAAAAAATACTTCGGCAAATAGTGGTTACAACAACAACAACAACAACAACCCAGTGTATTCCCACAAGTGGGGTTTGGGGAGGATAGGATGTATGTTGCCTTACCCCTACCCTGGAAGGGCAAAGAGGCTGATTCCAATAGACCCTCGGCTAGAGAAAAGATGGAAGAAGCATTGATGGCAAATAGCGGTTGCAAACACTTTTTAGCAATATCAACGAAACCCAAAATGCAAATGGATGTCGATGTCAACTAGAAATGGAGTTTTCAGCTAAGACAAATAGTAACCTCCATGTAGGAAGACGTAGAGAAGAATAGGAAGATGAAAGAACAAGCAAAGCATTAGCGAATCATGCTTTTAAGATCATGAAATTGCAGAAGGAAGAAATGCTGACAAGGCATATGATCAACATCAAGAAAACAAAATTCTACTCATAAGAGCTGTCTTTAGTATCATTGCTACTAAGCCTACTATAACATAGAAATTGGGCAGATAATGCAATAGCAATCACCAGATAGTTGCAAAAATAACACAATGTCTGGAAGTATGATGAGCCCAAAAACATCTACCTAGGAGTAGTCAAGACATTAGATATACAACCTCTATTTTAAACAAAGAGTTTTAATACCCAAGAGCATAACAAATTGCCATGCAGTCCTGGCTCCTTCAAGAAACTTTGACTTTCCAATCAATTAAAGGAGGTCCCCAATGTCAGCCTGAAGCCTGCAAAACAATGTCAAGTAGCAAGAAATTGATACGATTTTAGAAAAAGAACTAGCTGCATTATGTTTAAGAAGATAGGCACCTAAACATTAGTGAATTTTATCCAAAATGTTATAGGACTAAAGGAGCTGAAAAATAATATGAGCAAAATAATCTTTTCTAGGTTTGTGTCTGTCTCGTATAGAATATGCCAGCTCAAAAAATAGAATCAACTATTATATCTGTTGTGCATTTAGCAAAAACCTCAACCTGCCACGGGTTAAGCTAAGGGCTACAAGTAGACTAGGAAGATTTTTGAACTTGCCTGTTCTTCATTTTATCATGCGCAGCCTCTTTGCTTTCATTCTGGACATGTACATCAGTCGACTGATGTGCAAGGGAGACACAACACGCAGACCTCTTTTAGTGTTTCCTTTATGAAATTTCCTCCCACCTTTAGCCTCCTTCTTGCATAAACTGGATAAATCTTCACAAGTGTCACCAGCAGAATTATCTGTCAGTTTACCAAGTAAAATAAGGCTCATTTTGTAAGTATTAACATAAAGTGCATTCCGATAAGTTAAACAGTTAGCATTATGAATGCCCAGATTCTTAATTTTTTCAGCTACAGGATCATACGAAACCAAGAGTCCGTTGTCCGCTCTCCACAAAATTTTACCATTTTCCCTTGAAGCTATAGGCTTCACCAAGAAATGAGCAACCTGACGCTGACGACCACCATTAAACAAGGAGAAAATTTCATCAACAACACCAACATTGAATGATATGTCCCTTGAACTGATGCTGAACTGTTTCACCCATGATTCTGGGTCACCATACTCTTTTATCATCCAAATATCAATTGTTTTGTCATTTCCAGAGGAACTATCAGCCAAACAAAGTGACCCATTTGAGACAAAAAGGACAAATCCCTCACAAAAAAAACCACTAAACTTCCTAACTAAACTATCCGGTACCATCATCTCCCAGAATGTCTCCCCATGCACATCAAACAGCACAATCATATTTTGACTCTCCCCTCCTTTCCGTTTAGAAGCAACCCAATGGCAAGCCCCATTCATGTAGAACCCTGGTGTCTTCGGAACAAACAGACAAGATGGAGAAACAGGAGTAATGTCCTGCCAAACACCAGTGCTTAGTTTAAAAACCTCAACATCAGGTGGTACCTTATCAGTAGAAAATCCAGTATGTACTATTCTTACCACCTCGTAGTCATTAGTAACACTATCAAACCCAAACCCTAGTGTATGATCAAAGGGACCATGTGTTCTGAAAATAAAAATTGGTTCGGGGAGTTTTACTGACTTTTTGATGGATGGATTCCAAATATAGTAATGGTCCCTATAACCCCACAGGTCGTCAGAAAGGCACAAAAGCCCATTACAACTACCCACAATATTAAAGTGAGTTTTCATACTGGTCAAAATTTTCATTGTCACAGAACAAAGCATAAAATTCTTTTACTGGTTCTCCGGAGCAATGTCGTACTAGCAAGTAATCATCTTGGTTATTGAGGTGTGCGGAAATGAAATTAGGGCTAGTAATAAGAGAATACCATGACTTACAGACACTTGTACACTGAATGATGGACTTGGTGGGAAGCTTTAGAAAAATTTCAATCAACACTTCTTCTGGCAAATACTCAGACATGTTGAAAATGAGTTCTAGAGCTTGATTTCCCTTCTCCTATTGCAGACCCCTAAAAACAAGCCCCAACTCTTAGCTCAAATGTGCATTTCTACTTTCTCTACTGTTCTCTCCAAAACCCCTTTTAAACCAGCCCAAGAGCTTGAATTCATCCGCATATATATTTTTAACCCCTTAAACTTTGTTTAATTCCGATGTGGTACATTGGGATTTAAAACCAATAAAATAAAACAATCAAAAAAGCCGCACGTCTGGTAAAGGTAAATGGTAAATATAGAGAACGTGTCTATAATCAATAGGAGTACAGAATATATGTCAATACGCAAGATATATAGCCAATATTCTAAATTGTCCTCATCTTTCGATTTTTTTTTTGTATCGACTATGTTCTTTAATTTTAACAATTTTATTTTAAAACGCCACGTAAGTGAGATTGTCATTAGGATGTCTTATTTGTTATATATAAGTCAAAACGAATTTTATGTGGTAAAAGATTAAAATTTTCGATGCCCAAGGAGAATGAACAAGTTGGATAAGATTAATGGAAGTGTTAATAGAAGTAGAAACAGTTAAAAGAAGGAAATGAAAGAGAGGAAAGGGACTAGAAACAAGTTGGAACAAACAAAAACATAAAATACCATGTTTTATAAATAGAAAAATCAGAAATATATATTAACATTTGGCTTCTATCTTGTGCGGCATGGCTCGTTTCTCTCTCGGCGTAGGTTACTAACGTGCGCTTCCAATGGAGAGGAGAGCTCGCGTACCTTCTCAGAAGGCAATAACGGCGGCAGAATCGTTAACACAAACTCAGCGAGGGCATAAGGCAGTTGGCAAACAAGTGACGAATCCACCAACTGAGCCCCTTAATCATCGAGGAGGGAATGAAAAAGTAATCCTAAAAATTAGGGAGCAGAAAATTCAAAGTTTGAAAGCCTTAAAATAATAGAACGAGATCATGCAAGGCTCCAGCAGTGAAGGAATGATTGAATCAACAAGCAGAGGTAGGAAATCATGGGTGTATCAGGTGGAAGAGGAGGAATCGACTGTGAAAAAAACCTCGGTATAGGACAATTTTGATATTTCCAAAATCTCTAAGGCAAGATTCAAATTAGATTGTGTATCTCCAACTGTGTAACGAGATTCGAACATAGTTGAGTTAGAACTGGAGGATATAGAATCTGAAGTAGAGTACAGGAAAAATGTTGTAGTTTGTTATGTCCTAGGAGCCTATTCCTCTTTTGTTGTTATTAAGGGGTATGTTTGGAGGTTATGGGTCAAGTATGGTTTAAGCAAAATTGTCATGTTTGTATACGGGTGAACTTGGGGTCCCCAAGTTCCCGGCGAATCAAATGAAGTTAGGAGAAAGAACGTATGAGATAGAGACCGAATCTAAGAACTCATTGGATCGAGGCTGAAACGGGGTGCTCGACACCGGGCCTGACAAAGCAACACCCACCGAACCCGGAAGGAGCTCCAAGACCTCAGAAAGGACTACAAATAGTTTCACACGACTAATGGAAGACAGTGATATCCGCACCCAACCGGCTATCACAGAGCGGATCTCGCTAGAAGTCGGCAGTGTATCAGTAATTGACGTACAAGGAGGATTGTTACCTTTGTTAGAATTGGACTATGGGTAAAACTCCCTTGCTATATAAAGGGCAAGTTTTTCTATTTAATGGACACATTGTAACACGCGTGTCAAGGCAATTCAAACTTATTTCTCTGCTTTCTAGCTATTGAAAAGATCTTATTTTAATCATAGTTCTTCTTACACATTTGGCTTCGAATCGAGGGTCCGATCGAGGGCAGAACTATTGTTAAACTTAAATTTGAGCCCAGACTCAACGTCACAACTGGTTTGGTTATTTATTTTATCTTTAATTCGTTTATCTAACGTTCTTGATTACTTGTGTTGAATCAATCCACATATCCTTAAAATCGCGTACAAATTTAATTGTTATCCGTTTTAAGGGTAAACAGTTTGGCGCCCACCGTGGGGCTAAGGATAATAGTGGTGGCTTGATACAAATATCCATAACACACTCTATTTTACACTTGTTCTTTAAGGTCTCAATTTCAAGTCAGCTTAAAAATATCAAACTCTCAGTCTGCTCACTTGAATGTTGAGGTTGAGTCTGGCCATCGGGGCGAAAACAATAATCCGGTGCCAAGCAATGAGGTGCCCCCTGCCTACCCTAATAGAGTCCCGGTTGCATACCCAATCGATGCTAACTCACATGTGGCTATTGATGCCAACCTGCCTGCCTACCCCGAGAACAGCGTCCGTGGACGAGCCCAACCAATAGCTCGAGGGTCAGTCTACGATTGATTTTCGAAATGTTGTAGGCTCAAATAGCGGCACAACTACAAAATCAAAGTCGCGCCCCCAGCAGAGTTGAGCTCGAACTATCCCGGGAAAACACCCGAAGAAATGAGCAGGTCACCGAAAGATCGAGTGAAGCTGAGTCCGGTGTAATCCCCGAAGTAATGTAAATACTTGAAGCATTAATGAAACGGGTAGAATCAGGCGAAAAGAAAATTGAGACAAACAACAAGAAGGTGGAGACATATAATTCTCGGGTCTATCAAATCCCAGGAGCGCCCCCGATATTGAAAGGCTGGGACTCCAAGAAATTTTTCCAAAAGCCTTTTCCTCCGAGCGCAACACCAAAACCAATCCCGAAGAGGTTTTGTATGCCCGATATTCAAAAATATAACGGAACCACGAATTCGAATGAGCATGTGACCTCCTACACATGCTCCATTAAAGGTAACGATTTGGAAGACGATGAAATCAAGTCAGTGTTATTAAAGAAGTTCGAGGAAACTCTGTCAAATAGAGCGATGATATGATACCACAACGTACCCCCAAATTCTACTGATTCATTCTCTATGCTCGCAGATGTTTTTGTAAAGGCTCATATCGGGGCCATCAAGGTCGAGACTAGAAAATCAAACCTTTTCAAGGTTAAGCAAAGACACAACGAGATGCTGAGGGAGTTCGTGTCAAGGTTTCAAATGGAACAGATTGACTTACCTCCGGTTGCGAACGATTAGGTCGTTCACGCATTCACTCAAGGAATTAACCCTCGAAGCTCTTTGGCTTCGCAGAAGCTAAAACAAAATTTGGTAGAATACTCGGCGGTAACTTGGGCCGAGGTCCACAACAGGTACCAATCGAAAATCAGAGTCGAGGACGACCAACTCGGAGCCCCTTCTAGGTCCATTTATCCCATCAGAATTGATGACAGGTCAAAGAGGGCCATCGATCATGAATCAAGGCCGGTCGGAGATCAGTATCAACCATACAACACAGATCAAAGGGGAAACGGCCTGGAGCACAATTCTATAAGGAACAAAAAGAGAAGCGGTCGAGGGTCCAACAATCGAGGTCTGATGAGAAAAAATAGTTTCGACAGGCCGCTCGGGGGAAAGGAAGCACCAAGATTATCAGAGTATAACTTCAACGTCGATGCAACCAATATCGTATCAGCCATTGGGCACATCAAGGAAACCAAGTGGCCTTGACAATTGCAGTATGACCCTACCCAGAGGGATCCTAACCTGATGTGTAAATATCATGGCACTCATGGCCACAGGACCGAGGACTACCGATAATTAAGAGAAGATGTTGCCCGGCACCTCCGAGAATTTCTGATTGATCAAACCAAAAACCACTTCAGGAACAGGGACTCCAATAAACAGACCAAACAAGAAGAACCTCAGCACATCATCAACATGATCATTAGAGGGGTCGATGTCTCCTAGAGGCCAAAGATAAAGTGCGCTAAAGTATCCATCACGAAGGAAAAATGCGCCCTAGATTACGTTCCGGAGGGAACTATTTCGTTCAGCGATGAGGAGGCCGAGGGCATCGTACAACCTCATAATGATGCGCTAGTAATATCCGTACTTATCAACAAATCTCGAGTTAAACGTGTGTTGATTGATCCAGTCAGTCCAACCAACATTATCAGATCGAGGGTCGTAGAGCAGTTGGTTTTACAAGACCAAATTATGCCAGAGTTTCGGGTGTTGAACGGATTCAACATGGCATGAAAACTACTAAAGGAGAAATAACCTTGCCAGTAAACACCGCCGAGATGACCTGTAAGGCCCCTTAAAAATCTCGCACAGGAAAAATAATGTTTTGTGGTGCCGAACTGCGCCTACATGTTTGAGGGTTATAGAATCGAGCCACGACTCAGATATTTTGTGTTGAACAATGCACTAAAAAGTGAAGGAAAAAGATTTGGGCAGAAAAATGCATTTCTGCGGCCCACTATGCTGGCGCAGAATCACTCTGCAGACCGCATAATGGTCGCACAATGAAGCAGGGGCGAGGCGGTTTGGGCGAAAGTCTATGGTGCATTATGCTATCGCAGAACAGGTCTGCGGTCCGCATAACTACCGCAGACCCAAGCAGATTTTTCCCAGTTTTTGGCACCAAATTGTGCGGCCGATATGCGGACCGCATATCCATTCTGCAGTGGCATATGCGACCGCATACCCTGTTCCGGAGCTTCATTTTTAGGTTTTTATAACCCGACCCTACTTCATTAAATACACGCAAAGGACCATTTGTGAGCAAATATTTTGATGTTTTAGATAGAAGGAAAAGTGTTTTAGAGAGAGAGGAAACCCTAGGATAATTTTCATCAATCTTTGCTCATATCTTGGAAGATTAACAAGAAAAACCCACAAGGTCTTCATCCTAATGGTAAGGTCCTACACCATAACCCTCAATTTCGAATTTTACCTAGAATTGGGTAATTAGCAA